AGCCCAAGACGCTTACCGTGGTAGTCATGTTTCATCCTGAGACATGAACCTCAGTGGCATTTCTCTGTTCAAGGCAACACAGAAATACTGAAGATTAGGTGCTTTCAAAAGATACAGGTGATGGTTCTCTGAAAAATTCACCTGTGAAACCTACAGACGCCTGTCCACGGCTCTGCAGTAGCATGCACATACTACTGCAGGATATATTTGATTTCTGCTCTTCCACACTTCCTTAGGGAGTTGTAGTCATCAGCTTATTGCGATGATTTTAGCACTCCTAAGATAAGCCTGGTGATGTAACTAAGAAACATACAGAAGGAAAACCAAGCAGATAAAGACCACAGTTCATGTGCAGAATGCTTCCAACATGGTGGGACTCAGCTCTGACCGGACCCTTCCCTTCACTGGCCTTCCAAAGCAGCAAGCCTTTGAAAGGAAACTGGGGCATCAACCTTTGTAAAATGGCCTGTTTCTTAAATACCATACAGATAATTTTGTAAGAAAAATAATTGCATAAGAAGCAAAGTTATGCTAATTTTTATAGAAGCAACTGTAGACATACATGCTGTGTTGCTATTTTCAAATGTTTAAAATTGAATTATGCTTCCCAAAAGCTATTTAGAAGAAAATTGCATCAGGAATGCCAATCCATTGTGTTTTTCAAAAGAAAGCTGTTTTCTACAATATTACTCACATTTTGTAAACAGCATCAGTGAACTGCACATAAAAGGTTAAATGTTTGCAGACCATTCTTTTTGCCTCAAAGATCAGAGACAAATTACTATTTTTATTTTATATTCCCTTGATGAGGATAATGATAAACAGCTGTCACTTCAGCGCTCAACTGCAAAGAATCCTACTACAATCCTGTAATTTAAACAAAGAAAAAATACATAGTCATGCATAGGATACAAGCAGAAAAGAGCCTGAGAGAGAATTTGGTTGGAACTGGGGTTAGAGAAAAGACAGTGTTTTGCCGACATAATTACTTATTTTTTTAAATCCATCTCTATACATTTTTCCCATTCATCTTAGACATATTTGGGAAGAGGCAATTACTGCTTTTGTCTGAAATCAGAGCAGGAATTTTTTTTCTGCTGCTGACTCTCCTGCTGGCCATTGTATTATCACAGTAGCTAGAATTTGAATGTGACCACATGTCTGCTAGTATTTCCACAAACTAAAGAAAATTTCAAACAGCTTTGCTGGTTATTTTGGAATAATTGATTTTTTTTTTTAATGTTGAGAATTGAACCGGTATCCTCTATTCACTCTGACACTTTACTTATTAACAGCATGGCTTCCAAAAGTGGAAAACCAGTATCTTTTACATATTTTGATTTGCTAAAAAGTAAAGCAAGACTAAACATTATGAACAGTGTGAAACAGGGAATCTTAGTATTTCTATATGAAAGTATGGATATGGATTTAATTTTCCTGCTATGTTATATTCTGGTAGAGTTGTTTAATATATGCTCTGTATTCTTCTGTTCTTTTTTTAGTTCAATCGCTTAATTCTTTTTTTTTTTAATATTTATTTATCTTCATTGGAAAGTCAGATTTACAGAGAAAGGAGAGACAGAGAGAAAGATCTTCCATCTACTGGTTCGCTACCCAAGTGACCACAACAACCGAAGCTGAGCTGATTTGAAGCCAGGAGCTTCCATGCGGATGCAGGACCCAAGGTCCAGGGCATCCTCCACTGCTTTCCCAGGCCACAAGCAAGGAGCTGGAAGGGAGGTAGGGCTGCCGGGCTACGAGCTGGCTCTTGTATGGGATCCCAGCACAAACAGGAGAGGACTTCAGCCACTAAGCTACCATGCCGGGCCCCAATCACTTAATTCTTACAAATAATTGTGCTCCAGTGATATCTTTTACTTAGAGACTATTCTTAAATGTGTTATTTTATCTGATTTGCTCTATTATGGATGATTCATTATTTCATATGACTTCCCTTTTTTTTTTTTAAATACCTGGATACCTACACTGAAATAAAAAGAAACTAACTGAAAACCATGTTTACTTCTATCTGTGGAACAGCTCTCAGAATTGCAAGGCAGTGTCTTCAGTTCACCCCCTTAGGTTGTGTTGCGGATTTGCAGTATGGAGTACTCAGTGAGTGCTCAGTGTCCACTGCAAGTATCGTAGGTTGAATCTGCAATGCTGTCACCACATTGCTAAAGGCAGTAATAACATTAAGAATGTTTTGGACTGGATAGTGAATCCCATTTTATGGAGATTTGTGGTACTTTATATAGACAGATTGCTTTACACAGCCATACATCATCTTTTTTTCATTTATGTACATGCTTTCTTTTTTAAAATATTTTACTTATTTCTTTGGAAGGCAGAGTTACTAAGAAAAGGAGAAACAGAAAGGGAGAGATCTTCCATCCACTGGATAACTCCCCATGGGATGGACAGCACTGAAGCCTGGAGCTTCTTCCAGGACTCGCATGTGTGTAGCCAGGGCTAAAACACTGAGCCATCTTCCGTTGCTTTTCACAGGCCACTAGCAGGAGCTGGGTCAGACATGGAGCAGGTGGGACACACGCTGGTGTCCACATGGGGTAACGCGATTGCAGATGGAACTTCTCTGGCTACACCATGTGCCAGCCTCTATGTACATAATTCTGTAGTCATTTTATTCGTGCCATTATTATGAAGTAGTAGCAGCTCCTAACCCATCAACTTGGAGTTTCCTGATTTCTGGTTCCTGTAACAAGCAGCCAGTCCTGGAGACCCTGAAACTTGCCACGGCAGCTCCTTTAACACTGGTGACACCATCTGTAGCACTCACTTCTTGCCTCACTCCCATGCACCGCACTATGTTAGGTGCTAAGAGAGCAAGATGAGATTCCAGAGTCTGAGGGGAAGAAGCACAGAACTAGGCCGTATAGTAGCTAGAGGGAGTGAACGCAAGACACAGATGAAGCACAGAGAAAGGAGTACTGGAGGGCCCAAGAACCCAGGAGAATTTCTGGGCGAAGTGAGAGTCGGCAGAGCCTCAAAAGAGGACAAGTCTTCACCAATCAGCCAGGTGTGATGGGAAGAGGGATTCCAGGAAAGTGGAATAGCTGGCAGGAAACCTTGAGATGTACCGTAGATGTGTGTACATGTATGTATATACTCATACATGTGTAGGTTGTATAGTTTGATGACTCGAGTTAAATATGTGTTAGATCCTAGTTTTCACATGAAATGTTACATGTGTTGAGAGTCAAGCAGCGTTCTGTTATTCCCTGAATATCCAGGAATGAAGGAAAGTAACTAACATGTAGTAAGCACGCAGGAGGCCCACCACTTGGTCATTTCATGAACATTATCTTGATTAACTGCCGCATTTTGAAGTTGAAGACGCTGAGTCTCAATCACATTAGGGTACCAGAGTGTGGCCAGATTGCACTTAAGGTGTTCACATCCATAAACATTACCCTTCCAGTGACAAAGCAGTCACCGCTGCCTGAGAACTTGGGCACAGTGTGGCATGTGGCTTTCATGCCCCAGAAGCAAGCTTGGGAACATGGCTGACTTCAATGCTAGAATGGTCCTTTCGCCTATCACCCATCACTTTGTAGTCTTAGCTTTTTAGCTACTTACCGTAAACTAATAATAAAAACAAAGAACCTCAAGATGACTCAAAGACCATTTGAAAAGAAGTACAACAATCCAAGAGCTGTCATTTTAAATATTGTCATCCTCAACCTGGTGTCACAGTAGGAAGCCTGGTCAGTATCCTTGCTCCCTGATGGGCTCAGGACTGGGATGTGCCCCTTGGCTTTCAGCATGAGCGTCTTATTTTAATGTTTTTGAAACATTAGATATTTCTGAATGAATGAAGCCTATATAAACGATTTGAACCCATTTCTGTTGTGCTGTTGATTCTGCAGCCTATAGACCGGCCTTTCACGTAGTGTGTTGAATCAGAGGAAAGGCCACCTCACTTACAGATCCAGTTCAGCTGCTTAACCAAGTGCTTTGCCTAGAACTGATTGGAAGATTGAAAACCTGGCAGATCAAAGTATGTAAAATTCCAAAGAGTAGTACTTTAATGTCCACATTGGAAGCAATAAATTATTTCCCCTTTTTAAATTTGTAATTAAATCTTCCCAAACGCTAGAAAGTAGCCAGACCACTAACAATATCTGTATCATGTTCTGGGGCTTAGCTGGTTCAACTGACTTAAAATGGAGACCATTTGTTCTAAATTGATTTCAATGCCAAGCCAATAGGTCAGCCCTTAATGATGAAGATGCATTTCAGGGCAGCCTCTGGTGGATAAGCCAAAGCTAATTAACTCAAGTCCCATAGTATAGAAAACAGATGCTTCTTCATGTTGCACAAATAATTTCTTTGTGTGTAGATGTGTTCTGTTTTATTCAAAGAATAGCAAGTTGAAAGTTAAAAATTGTAACTTTTTCACAATGAAGCCAGCTTTTGGTCGTGATGACAGAGGCATGAATTTATATAACAAATTCCAGCGAGTGCATGGAAGAACAGAATTATCTTCTCTATCTCTTGCTGTGGCTTCAGGCCAACCCTAGGAGATTTAGTTTTGAATCTGAGCTGATCCAAATGTTGACCCAATCCAAAGCACATCCAGAAGTGTAAGAACACACAAAGGTTATTTCTAATCTATAGAATCCCAGGAGACTCCTCCCAGAGGCTTACATCTGCATCATGTGCTTGGATTCAGTTCTTTGGCTGAAGATTAGAATGTTCTCTAGAGACGTGTTGTTAGGTGGGTGTTTGTCTGATTATTTATTGCAGTGTTTGTTTAGAAATGGAAGACTTGATCTGCTTGGAATGTGGCAGGCTAAAAGCTAACAGTAATTGCAGGGTTTTGATCTTTTGTTTGTAGATGGCTGATATCGTAAAGATGCAATGCTGTAAACCACTAACAGGCTACGAGGAACCTAATCAGTTATTAAGATCTAGTTGTTTTTTTTTTCTTTCTGGGCCATTGTGAGATAACCCATATTTTGTTTCCCTTCTGTTAGGCTGAAAATGATGAAAATGGCCAAGCAGAAAATTTTTCTATGGACCCACAATTGGAGAGGCAGGTGGAGACCATCCGCAACCTCGTGGACTCCTACATGTCGATTATCAACAAATGCATCCGAGACCTTATTCCAAAAACGATAATGCACCTTATGATCAACAGCGTAAGTAGCCTCCCACTGCTGCTTCGAACTGCCAGGCCGGCCTGCACATCTCCACCCCTGCTCTTCGGAGTCTTAGCGGTATTTTCTGGATAAATGAAACACCTATTTCCTAGGTTCCTCATTTTCCATTACAAATGGTAAATGTCCAGTGAAACAGATCCAGAAAGGAAATCCTCAACCTTCCACTTCAGTGCTGAAGTATCCCCCCTCGGATCACTTCTAGAACAATGTGAATCTGGTCACGAGGAAACAGCAAAAACACCACAGCTTGGTCACAGTGTAAATGAACAGCAAGGTCAGCAACAGAACAGCTGACCTGGCTCTGAGCCCCTTAAGATTAAAGGCCGGGGACATTAGACACACACACACACACACACACACACACACACACACACCACTCACACACCACTCACACATTCTTGCGAAGTATTTTCAAGAGCTCCATGGAAAAACTACAAATAGATCTCACAATTTATCTGCACCAAAATAATGTTTTTTCCATTTGCCATGAACTTTTTTTTTTTTTTTTTTTTTTTTTCATTGGAAAGGCGGATATACAGAGAGGAGAGACAGAGAGGAAGATCTTCCGTCCGATGATTCACTCCCCAAGTGAGCGCAACGGGCCGATACTATGCCGATCCGAAGCCAGGAGCCTCTTCCGGGTCTCCCACGCGGGTGCAGGGTCCCAAAGCTTTGGGCCGTCCTCGACTGCTTTCCCAGGCCACAAGCAGGGAGCTGGAAGGGAAGCGGGGCTGCCGGGATTAGAACCGGCGCCCATATGGGATCCCGGGGGTGCAAGGCGAGGACCTTTAACCACTTGCGCCACCGCGCCGGGCCCTGCCATGAACTTTTTAAAGTGCCTCCGTGCTATGAGCATTGCTTGCAAGAAATCAAGATTAGTTGGCCAAATAATGAAAGGATCCCCCAACCAGAATTCAAGAGAAATTTGACTTGTAGCACGAGGCGAGTCACATAACTGTGTCTGTTTCCTGCTTATCTAAAACACTACTAACCATAGTAGGTATAGCTGACTTAGAAGCTTGTTCCAGAAAATAGTGTGTATGGAACTACTGTGAAAATGTTTAATTGCAAGAAATTGATATAGCTGCCTTTTGAAGAACTTTGATTAGTTCTTTCTATATCCCAAGATTTGTTGCCCTGGCTTTCTGCATTATAAGAATCCCTTGACGATTCATCTGAACATTTTGTTTTTCCTAAATCTATTTTCATGCACATTTCAAATATTAGACAAGGTTAGCAAGTAAGTAATGCATTGAAAAAATGGCGTTGCTGAACTGCGTTTTTAAACTTGGTCCTTGACGGGCTGTGTGACCCGAAGCGTTGTTGAGCCTCTCTGCGTTAAAGTCCATAACTTCTGTCACTGCTGAGGAACCCCGCAGACTGTCAGAGAGTATAATAAATGTGGCTGCAAGCCATTTAGAAAAAAATGTAAGATACTAAACAAATAGTCTGTGTATTTTAAAAAATTACCCTCTTAACTTGGCTGAAATGAGTTCAGGTTGTTTTGCTGTGGTATATCCAGGCACTTGCTTATTTAAACACTTTCCTGATTAAGGGTCATTTATCTTTTCACCGTTTCACTCCGTCATTAGTGCTGCCGTCAGTTCAAACGCAGCCTTGCTCTGCACTGCACTCAATCATCGGCACCGGAAATAGCACTTCCTGTCTCGAGCTGCGAGGAGTAGCTTGACACAAATTCATTAAAAGGAAGGAAAAAAGAAACCTCTCTATCGCGGGACGCCCCCACTTTCACCTTCTCCAGAAGCTCCAAACTCACAAACACACACACAAAGAAACGCGGGCGTGATTTTGCGCACTGCCCGCTGGCCAGTGTGCTTGCTGTAAGGGAATGGCGGAAGATGCGGTTCCCGGGGGTAAAGCTATGCTGGCTGTCTCAGGAGAGACCCCAGTGCTAGCAAGCAGAGCGTGGAGGCAGCCGCGAGTGGGAGTGGAGCAAGCACGAGGCTCATGAGAGCTGTGGTACGCAGCTGGATTCTTGTGAAATTGTGGCACTCTTTATGTTGGTGTTTTGGGGAAATTTAACTTTTCCTATCCCCCAGATACTGGGATGGCTGCTTCCGTTAATATAGTTTCTGCCTTTTTTTTTTCTACATGGATAGGGAGCATTTTATTTCAGTTATATAGAATTCCACAGAGGTAAACTGTGCTTTTTATAACCTACCCTTGTCTTCTGACTGCGCAGGCTGCACAAGCCCTTGGAGGCCCCTCTCGCCCTGTTGAGCACAGAGAAATGGCAACAGAGTGAACCCCAGCACTGCTGTGCACATGTGGTGGGTTTTCTCTCTGGTTTAAACCGGAGAGCTCTTCAAGTGAGAGAATTAATAACAAAACTCCAACTAGAGAGCTCCTAGTTTGACTCTTAATCCTGAATTTCACGCACTTAACCCTGCTGCTTCTACTAATAGTTTTGGGTGGAAGAGCCACATATTCCCCCAGACCAATAAGTGCCTAAAATGGGGTCCCCCGTTTCTTCCCAGTCCATAGAAAGCTGTGCTGTGGCCTTTCTTCTTTGAAATGAGAATGGCTGCCTAGCCTTCTGGAAAAGAATATGTTTCAGCCAACTTTCATAAAGTTCAGAATGTGGTGGGCAGTTTCCTTTGAAAGTTTACATTAAGTGTTCTGCCACTCAAGCCTCCATATGGAATTGTTTAAGAAGTTTAAAGCCCAGCAATAAATGCCTTGCCTCAGACATACTGTAAGCCTTTGTCTATTGAAACACAGCAGCTGTTTCATTACTTAAACATACCAGGTAGCAGCGGCACAAAGAGCCGGCCATTTACGACAGGCGGCAGTCAAGGCGGGAGCGTTGTATTCACGCCTAACACCGTGGCAAGCCTGTTTAGACGGCCTCTTCTCTGCGGCTCACCCCTCGTGTGTGCAAAAATGCCTGTGCGAAGAGGCACAGAGTTCTGTCTGATCATTGTTTTCTCCAGCTTACAAATAAAGCCGTCGAGGCACCAAGAGGTTTAGGGACTTGCCCAAGTCCACCCAGCCGGGAGTGGCAAAGTCAGGATTGACTAACTCCTTCAGCATCAGACAATACACTCAGCAGACTCAGGAATAGTCAAGTCAGCCCTCTCCTACGTGGGGTTCCCGACCCAGAGGCTAGCTTCCCTCGAGGTGGCTTACACCTGAAAATTTAATTAAAACTTGTTTGAATATGAGAAGTAATGTTTTTCAATCTTCATGTAAAGCACTGTTTTCTTAGGTTCGAACAGACCCAGAGAAGATGAAATAGAATGTAAAAGTTTTTATAACTTTTTTTTTCCAAAAACCAAATATGAAAACCTGGAGGCATTTCACACTTGGATTGTGTGCTGTAAGCCTGTGCCCCTGGGACCCTGGAGGGCCACGTTCACTCCTCGGGGCCATTGGCATTTTGGTGGAAAATTAGAAACATGTGCCTCCCTTGCAGAATTCACTGTAACTTTTATGTTAGGGTGAAGTAAAGCGTTCTTTTAAATGTTCACTATTTGATGGGAAAGGACACTTTAAATACCAGAACTTGATGCTGGTATTTAGAGCATGCTGGTGCAGGAAAGCACTGTAGCCAGGTCCCCAAAGTCTCACCCGTTCATTAATCCCCAGCCCTGCACCCCCCAAGGGACCTCCTGCACCGTGCCTGAATTTTACTTGTTTTTGAACTTTGGAACATACAATATGTGTCCCTTTTTGTCTGGCTTCTTTTCCTCAACATTATGATCATAGGTCAAAAAATAGTGCTTTTTCTTTTTTTTTTAATTTCGAATTTTATGGTACAACTGTGTAGGGTCTGAGGTTCACCTCCCCAAATTACCACCCCACAATTGATTTTTCCCAAATTGTTACAATAGTATCAGTCTGCTCTCTGAGTGTGCCCAACATCCTGGTACAGACAATGGCAGACACTCCAGCCTCCTGCTCTCTGAGTGTGCCCAACATGCTGGTACAGACAATGGCAGACACTCCAGCCTCCTGCTTTTTCAAGAAGGAAAGATTTCTTGGTCTTTAGCAGAACAGAATCCCTTGGAAAGGCAAAGAAAGCTTAAGTAGACCTAAAAGAATCGTGAAATCTAAAAAGGAGAGAGAATGAAAAAAAAAAAAGCACATCAGCCAAGCCCTCCCTCCAAGAACAAACAAACAAAATTAAACTTGTCTATGAACTTTTTATGTGTGTGTTACGTGAGTGCAGGAGAGCACTCTGTTCTGTGCTACAGCCGTCCCTTCTAGAAACAAAGAGAGTGTCAGGAAATGGTTTCCATGGTAACTGAACTGTGCAAACCCTAGAATCCTTCCTCCTGTCTTGTGAAGGCTTCAAAGTGGTCTTCGTGATAACAAAGAGCATCTGGAATCTGAACACATTGCAGGCTGCCAGGGAAGGGTTAAAGTCCGCAAGAGGAAGACTCGTGGAACGTTCTTAATGACCTCACATTCCTTGACTCTGAGCAGAGGGACTGGTGCAGCTATGCCTGTTTATCTAGCCTACAGTCTGAGCTGGAATGAAGGTTTAAGTGTGAGAGTTTTTTTTTTCAAACCATACAAAGACGTGTATAGGTTATAAGGTGTTACAATTAAACCCATAAATATTACTGCGGATCTCACGCCCGAGTGGAACTAGTTTGTCAGGTTCAATGAGTTACGCTCTAAATGCTATCTTTTGGAAGAGATCTTCTTGGCTAAATGTCATGTAGGATCCCTGATTTAAACTCTCATAGCTCTGACACACCAACTGCTCAGAAAGTCCCTGAAGCGTCTGGAAACCCCCCCCCCCCAAGTCTCCCCTGCCTTGGTTCCAAACTCCGGTTGCAGCGTTGCAAAGCTGCCAGGAAGAAAAGAAATGAAAAATAAAATGCTAGCACCAGCTCTAACGGTGTCATTTGATCGCTGCTGCTTTGCTTGCTATTGTTGCTCTGTCTCTTTATTCCTAATTCCGGTCTGACTTCTATACAGAAAAACTGAGCAATCTCATTGAATGTTAGCCAGCTAATCGTCACACTCTAGGCGACTGATAGCCATTCTTCCACTGAAACTTCACAACGCCTCATTACCCCGCCTAACACATGAGGAAGCAGAGGTGTCCGCTCAAGCACAGTAAATGAGTGTCTTCCAGCCACCGCACCGTCTTGCCGTTTCCTTCCATGCTAAGCACGCTCGTGCTGTTGTGGAACCTGTCCAAGACTTTTGGATATGAGCAAAGTTTTAGTTGTGGAACATTGAAGGCAAATCTTTGATCAGAATTCTGAAGGAGGCCCTTATTATTTTATTTTGTGGTTTGTCTGAGAGTTGATTGTTACTTCAGATCTGCTTTAAATCTAGTCTTGGAAGGATCTTTCTTTAAATTGTGCTTAATGGATCCTAAGTGCTATTTCACTAAGAAGGAAAGCTTCAAACGAGCTGAAGCCAACTGATAATGCATGCCAGCCCAAGGCCTGCTGTCGGCATTCTGCACTGCGCCCTCTGCCCACGCATACACACAGCCAGGATGACACCTGCACATGTACTCAGAAGTGAATGAATCTTCAAGGACAGAAGTGAAATATTCCTAAACCCATATTGACTGGCTTTACTCTGAATCTGACTTTCTTGCCATTCACGTTTCTGTTCTCCCATTCACCCATCTGTCAGTGCTTGGGCAGTCTCTGACCGCTCCTTCCTTCCTTCCTTGCCCTCCACATGCAAACAACACAATGTCTGGCTGACTTTTGCCTTTGTAATATCATTTTATGTGCCCATGTTTTCTATTCCACTGCAATATCACCAGATTAAATGCTTATCATCTCACGAGGGACCCGTAATAGGCTTCTTCCAGATTAATCTCTAATACCACCTATGCAAACTCATTTGCAATCACTAACAGATTAATTTTCCTAAAAACTGCCATTTGTTGTTTTATTTACTTGCTGAACGGCCTTCAGCAGTTTCGCATTGCCAAGTGGATAAAGTTCAAAGACTTCCTTGGATTCAGGGCTTTCCCGCCAGCCCCAGGTTGGCTGTCACAAGCACCACCCTGACAGTACTATATGTGCCTCCACTTCCACCACTTGAATTACTCTCAGTTTACAAAATATGTGCAAGGAGCACTTTTCTTTTTGTATTATTTAACCACAGTAAAACTGATTGGGGGGAGGGGAGGACAGAATTTTTGGTGTGATTTGATATCTTTAATGTAACCATTTTTTCAGCTGTTGCCATGTCTGAGCTACAAATTTAACCTAGCAACTTTGAGCACCTGATAGATAAGGCTTCCTCTCTGAATGTGGAACAGATACACTTGTCTTTAGCTTTTCTTAGAAACTCATGCATGAGAATCACAATCCTGCTCAGAATACGTGCTGTGTCTGTGGGGCCGCATGTCAGGCTCACCGCTGGTAGCTTCCGCCAGAAACTCCAGGAAATACTGCATCTCTTAACACAACTTTCTGTAAACCAACTTAATATGGTTCTGTAATAAATATTTGCTGATTAATGCTAACTCCACTTAATAGACATTAGAACTTGGAGTCTCAAAATGCAATAATTTTAGTGAAAGCTAGTGAATGGCTGGGAATGCCAAGGAGTAGAAGACTTTTGTTATTACATATTTTTTCCATATCCATTTGCTGTTGAAAATGCCAGACTTATTTCATGCTATCTTCTATCCTGTGTAAGCCAGGTGCCTCCAGGCATGGGGGAAGCTGGCATGGTCAGCAGAACCTGTGCTGGAGAGGGCCAGCCTGGTGCTCCCTTCCGGCTATCTGTACCATCCTTCAGTATTGACAGCCGGAAGACAGAGGGAATAATGGCACTTGGACGATCAGGACAGGTGCAGGATGCGTCGCTGGTGGACTGTGTCCATAGATGGAGTGCCCAGCTGTGTTGAGGCCAGTCAGTCCCTCATTCATTCCCATTTTCCATGTTTCTGTGGTGATGGGCCAGGTTAAAGATTTCATCAACTCGGAGCTGCTGGCACAGTTATATTCTTCGGAGGACCAAAATACCCTGATGGAAGAATCTGCGGAGCAGGCTCAGCGCCGAGACGAGATGCTGCGAATGTACCAAGCCCTCAAAGAGGCCCTCGTGATCATCGGGGACATCAACACGGCCACGGTGTCCACTCCTGCCCCCCCTCCAGTGGACGACTCCTGGCTGCAGCATTCCCGCAGGTAAGGAGATGGCCCTAGGGCATCGGGATCATTCTTCCAAGAGTGCAACCCTAACCCGGACCAACCCAAAGAAAAATAGGCACAAAAGCAAGTCAAGCTCAGGCGGGAAGGGGTCAAAACAAGCAGAGTTTGTTTCCAATGGAATTCTGTATGGTTATTACAAAAAAGCAAGGGCGTTCTCCTAGTCCTGAAATGACAAACTCACCAGGCCCACGTGATGCCTGAGAAGCAAGCAGCTTGCAGGCCACGTGCTTGGCAGCGCAAACAGCAAGCTGTGTAGGGGAGGCTGTCCTGGCACAGACCAAGATGACATGAGGCGTAACACCCCAGAGAGGACTGTGCATGGTGAACAGGAGGGCAGGAGGCGAACCTACTGTTCACTCCTTGCCGCCTCCACCTTCCCACTTACATCTTCTGGGTCTGAGTGAGTCACGCAGAACCTCACAGCATCTTCCAAGATTGGCCCAGGGAAGGCGCTCGGACTGGGCCAACAGCAACCTGTCTTTTCTCCAGGTCTCCTCCTCCGAGTCCCACAAACCAAAGGAGGCCGACCCTCAGTGCACCCCTCACGAGACCCGCCTCCGGCCGAGGACCAGCTCCCGCCATTCCTTCTCCAGGTCCACACTCTGGGGCACCTCCCGTCCCATTCCGTCCGGGGCCGTTACCCCCTTTCCCCAACAGCAGCGACTCCTTCGGAGCGCCTCCGCAGGTTCCCTCGCGGCCCACGCGGGCCCCACCCAGTGTCCCAAGGTAAGGCGGGGGCCCAAGCCTGTGGGGGTGCTCGGGGTTCCCTTCTCAGAGTGTGACAGATGAAATGGGCTTGAGCAGGACAAAGGCCAAGGCCTAAACGTTTACACGTTTATAGTTTTCACACGGGAGGGGACCATGGGAAAATGGTCGCTGAGACCAGTATGTGGCCTTCAAAGCCTGGCATTTGTCAACTGGTCCTGACTAGAAAGGACTGGAGGAATCTGGGCACCATCTTGGCAGCTGTTGGTGGACTTCCGCTGGGGGCTTCCGGGACAAAAGAGCCAAGACAGGGCCGTAGCAGGCTAGCTGAATTCAAGAAAACCTCTGAAAGGTTATCTGAACTGAAAAGTCAGTGTCACTAACTGTGACAGGCTAAGGAAAGTGAGGCTAATAAAAGCTGCCACTTTTTAAAAATAAGATTATGCATGGAAATTTTAACACAGTAGTTGTACGTGGTCGCTGACCACTTGTGAAAACGCTGCATTTAAAGACACACAGTGAAAATCGTAAAGAGGTCTTCAGGCCTAACTGTGACACTGCTTAGTGAATAAATAATGGACCTCAAATATTTATAGTTGGAGCTAGAGCCTTCTCTTCATGCGCTCACCGTAAAAGTGTGTCTTAAAGTTAAGTATAATGAGAAAATTTTGGGAGTTAAAGTGCTAAGTGGTTCCCCTCGATAATCAGAAATTTTAAAGGCGGGGAGAATTGGCCTGAACTTGACTTAAGAAGAAATTCAGTTCAAAAACTTAAAGCATCCCTGCGGTCTGTGAAGGAAAACCTGACTTTGCTTAGGGAACTGTAAAGACACAGACCTCTTCCCACGGTGAAGGCTGCGGAGCTCTGCCTGCAGGTGCAGAGCTGACCTTTGACCTTTGGGAGCAGGAAGGGGCTTGAACCAGCGATGAAGGCAGCCTAGAGAAGAGCAGGGCCGCTGGAGTCAGAAGACCTGGGCCGCCCGAGGACTCAGGCCGCTCGGGGACCTGAACCAGGGGAGACTCAGCAGTAAGGGCAGTGCTCAGGTGCTGAGGGACGGGGCAGTCTGAAGTCGGATACACTGTGGACACTGACCGTGACTGCTCTGATCACCATTTCGGTCCTAATCTAAGAGGGTGTATGTCCTCTCGACCTAATTTTTTTCCTCTGAATTCCATAGGATTGGCTTATCATTTATTTGGACCTCCGCTAGCTAAGCTTCTAGTCACAGAGCACTGTCTAGACACTTTTGCTCCAGCGAGCTAGGCTGTTGTGTAGGTGTTACAGATGGGCGTTAGTGAGGGCATGCCCCTTGCCCAAGGCTGCTTACCCAGGCCCCGAAAGACCTTGCCTTGAATCCCAGTCTGATGACAGAGCTTCCAACCTTGACACCAGGGTTTCCTAACTTGTCACAAGTGACATTTCATTGTGCAGAGCTGTCCTGTGTATTCTAAGAAATTTCACAGGCCCCTTAGCCTCTATGCACCGAGTGTAAGTTGCACAGCCCGGCTGTGACCACTGAAAGTGTCTCTAGACAGTGTCAGTGTCCCTTGGAGAAGGAAACCACAGATGCCTCTCTGCTGAGAGCCACTTTCCCTTCCGTGTGAAAATAAAATAAAATTCCAACACTGAGCCTTGCTACAAACGAAAATCGAATTTACTGTTTGGAAAACCTCAAATTGACTGGGAAACTGTCTGCACTGTGCCAGGAAGGTGCAGGAGCCCTGCAGTCAGCACTCCACGCAGGAGCCCTGCAGTCAGCGCTCTGTCTGCTGTGAGAAGGAACCAGAGCTCCCGGGTGCCCCCCCCCCGTTGTCTTGTGCAGAGTGAATGTGCATGTCCTGCTTGCTCGCATGACTGCTTTGCGTCTTTGTTTCAGATAAACTAGCTCACCAGTACCTTTCAGGAGAGCCAGCGTCCGAATGCTGCACCTATTTCTTAGGAGGAGTGAGGTGCCCCTTTATATTTCAGGCTGGCTAGTGCAGGCCGGGTGAGCCCACGGGCAGCAGAGCTGGAAAGACAGGCCGCCAGGTCGAGTGGTTGCAGTGGGACACCCACTGAACAACGCTGCCTTTTTTGAAATGTCTGGAGTCCTCTCAAGTTAGAATCAAACTTAACCTGATCTTGCCATGCAGAGTCCCAAATTTAAAACAGAAAGAATAGCACAGCAGAGGAAAGTTAGTTGTTTTGTGCTGAGCCTTCAAGTTTCAGGCCAGTTGAGCGCACTGGGAGGGAAATCCCTCTTGCGGGGAGGGGTGGCCGCCTGGGAGCAGGAGTCTGCAGGATCCCGTGCCTGGGAGAGGCGGCGTGACTGGAGGATTCTGACCGCGGAAAGTCTGGTTTTAATAAAAGCCAGAACAGGAATCCTACCAAATGCAAGCCAGAAACAGGGTGTAAGATTTCAGAAAAAGAGGAAAACAAAGAGAGAGAGAGAGAGAAAGAAAGAAAGACAGACAGACGTTAAAGGAAGCTCTTGTTGAAACTTTACCTGATTCTGTTTATACATTCGCTTATCCCTGTGCAATGTGCCTCCATTTTCTCTGTTCCAAACTAAGGCCTGAACTGCCACTATCCGTCATCTCCAGGAAAACAACCCTTAGCCTCCCAAGAAGGAAGTCAGATCTTTCTTCTGAGTTCTTTGCTTTCCTAGGGGCCCTTTGTCCTCTTTTATCTGAAACTGGAGCCTTCCCGGAGATGGGACAGCGTGGAAGTGGTCGCCCTGCTCCCTGCTGGGCCTCACTCTAACAGCACAGAACTGTGCGTGAGCTCATGCTCGCATCTGGACAACTCCTGAGTTTACTAGCAGGTTACGATGAGGGCTTTTAAAAGCATCTCAGAGTACCTCAACACTTCCATAGAAAATGTAATTGAAAGGCGAATTTATTGTGGTGCACCAAATCTTGAAATTCATGCTGAGTTTTCTCCCCATACGTGCTTTTCATAAACTTTTTGAAGACATTTCCTGTGCATGGATTTCAAAACACTTGTACCAAGTGAACTCATCGTTCAACTTCATTTTCTCCACGCACTTTCAGAATCATCCCCATCCAAACTTTCAGCTCTGTTCAGAGGCAACCAAAGAATTGGCAAGTGCACACACAAAAAAGAGTGTTTTGCTTTTAAAAATACTATTAGGATTCCAGCTTTCCATTCCAATGTAGAGGGAGGGGATGGAGAGGGGGCAGAGGCACTTTTTGGCCCAGTGTTCTTCAGCTGCTGGAGCTGTTCTGGTTTTTGAGAGAAATGGAAATCCTGCGAGCCACGTGCTGATGGAGTGGCTCATTGAGGAGATGTCTCCATCCCAGAGAAAAGTCAGGGTGTGCATGCTTCCGTCAGGAGGGCGCAGTGCATGCGGCAGCCGTGGGACGCCTCCTGTCCCCAGAGCCACTGTGCCGGCCGCTCTCCGCTGCTCTCCGCTGCTCTGCAGCGCCTCAACTCCTGTTTGGAAATGCAGGCCAGCCACCTATTCATGTCACCTGATGATCTTAAACAGACATCACCAACTTTGCAGGGTCTCTGCTCTCCTCGTTGAAGAACCTCATTTCCATCAGACGTTAACCTTAGAGCTGATGAGGTGTTTCAGTCTGGCCTTTTTTAAAATTGGGAAGCGCAGCCTGTGACACGAACAGAACAAATTAGCCGTGCCCGTGCCTCTGCCGGCAGTAGCAATTCTGGAAATAGTTCACTCGTTTGTTTTCTTCTCTGTCCTCGGACAAAAGCATTTGCAATGGCCAAGAGGGGAGCAGAGTGAGAGGGAGGGTCTCTCTCCAAACAGAACCTTTGTGCACCTCATCACTTCAGCTGCATGAAGTGTTTCTTCTAATCGCCATGCTCACCAAGTCAGATGGTTGTCTTTGAAAAGATGGTGGACCCGACTCCTTCACAGGATCTGGCTCTTAGTCCAGCTCGTCTGGGAGGTAGCCGCACTGCACGGGGCACCGTGCTCCATGGCAGGTCCCTGTCTCCCTGGAGAAAGCGGGTGTCCACCCATGACTCGCATGGCTGCCCTGACTTCACACGGTGCGCATGGACTCAAGCCATGCAAACGTTGCGAGAGATGTCTAACCCTCTCCACATAAGGAGATAGTCAGTGAATTCAGATTCTTTTCTTTACAAAAATAAAAGTCATTTTGGTTCTTTTTACAATTTAAAGTCTTACCTTGAAAAACTACATTGCTAATCTCTTTTACATATTTGATATGTTGACATGATTGACCATAATCGAGAACCCCTTTCACTGAGAAATGAGGACTTCCTGGGTTTTGTTTTTCTTTGTTTTGTTTTCATTTTTTGTCAACTACTGCGTCCCCCACATTCTGAGTCAGCTCCGACCCGTGATTCTTACGTGTGTGTCTTTGCGTCCCTCACATCAAGGTTTGGTGTCGTGAAGGACGAAGCTGCGGAGCCCTGAAGTCGTGGGTTGCGGGTGCGTGGACAGTCGGGAGCGTGTGCGAGCCGCAGACCGGCCTGGCGTCTCCTCCGGCTCTGGGCGGCCTCCCTGAGCGCGGGCTCCTGCGCAGGCGCGAGGAGGCCATCCTGTGGTTGGTCTTGTCAGCCAGTTCTCCGCTTGCCTCCTGTCCTTCCCCACTTTCAAAGGGGAAAATAGGAAATACGTTTGTAACTAGATATTCGGATTTTTCAGCGAACAGTTTTTACTTTTAACTGGATTTAAAAGTCAAGCAAATCATTTTTTAAGTATACATGCTAAGAATAGAAACAACTTCGAGGCCTTCTTTTTGATTCTTACTGTTCAAGGCATCTCATGAGGCCACTCTGTCACAAAATTTATTACTGAAACCCTCAAATGTAATTAATAATTTGTTGCAGGTTTAACGACAGTCTTCACGATACTTACTACACCTCAGGGAAAGGAGGCTTTGGTGACATGCTCCCCAGTGAAGGACATGTCCATTTAATTTAAGTCCCTCCGTCAGGTCCGAAATGGAAAGCCCCGTTGCAATTCCACAGACAATTCGGGTCGTAACAGAACAGCTCAAGGCAGTGACTCCATGGCTGAATGTCAG